AAGATTCGCACGCATAACGGCATCCGTATCGCGACATCGCGGTCGCGACAACTTGAGAATGAAGACGCTCCAGCGCACTCTAGAAAGCTTCTGCATCACGAAAGAACGTTGGGGTAACGTTTCGATCGACGTCGGCTTCGTTATTTTCAATGATATGAAAAATATATACGGCGGAAAAGCAAAGTGACAGAGCAGAACTCCGAAATTTCTTTGTAACCTCAAGAAAATGCTATGCGAAAATGGTTTATGTCATTCTAATGAGCATTCAAGATTCAGTTGTAAATTTAACCGCGCGGAACTTATCGAAGCAGTCGGTGAAATGGAAAAGATCATAAAAATCCTACTCTTTCATGTTCTCGAAACGAGCGAAAATGCAGTTTTAAGATTGTTCCGGTTATACTACTACGCTGCCGGAAATCTTATGATTATGGTTATTGCGCTAGTTTGGACACCATATCGCCGTCGTGTATGCCGGAATAAGGCAAGTTCTGAAATCCGCCAAACCATTAACGCGGTTTAGATGGCGCTTTAGATGATGATGTTCATCGCCAAAGGTGTCGAAGTTAATACTACGCGTCTCGGGTAAGATCATGATCACAGATCGACAAGATCTACAATTAATCCAAGCTGGGAGATATTCTCGGAAATATCTCCGGATCTGGAAAAATGGAATACTTACTTTTTCTACATTGTTTCTCAAGTTCTGATACAAAACTGTTATCTACCTGTTACAGATACAGAACTGACATCTATTATACCTTATTTTAAAGCTTAAAGATAACGCTTTAAAATAACCGTATGGCGAGAAAAAGATTCAAATTTGAATGAGTGCTGTAGTCGATTGAATATAGGAATTGAGAATTAAGTTGATAGACCTATATGTCAGTACCTACGAATTTCAACTGACAAAGTTTACATTTTGATATTTTTTTGAATGAATAACTTTTTGGTTCATATTCTAGGAAGAGTTTACATTGAGCACGTAATACGAGTCAAGTCAATTGTTAGTGACTATTTTCTTGACATCAAATGCATGGTGATTTATTAACGCTACTTTATAGTCATACGGCAGAGCTCAGGCTTGTCGTAATACCTTGGCAAACAAGAATATTTAGCTTTGTCACGGCTTAGACAGTGCCTTTCCTAATTCACTATTACTTCCACAAAAACGAAGCTATGATAAGATTGAGTAATTGATTCGAGAATAGATAATTTAATAACAACAGAACAATCCGACAGTTTAGAAATAGAGAACACAGAGGAAATCATTTTCTGTAAACGCATAATGACGTTTTTGACTTCGATAAAAGCCGACCAGAATACATTCAAGAGGGAGCGAAATATGAGAATAGAGACCTTTGCAAGATCCAACGTTAGCTCGCATGTAATTTTGTCGATTGTTAAAATAGAGAAGCTGTTGCAAAACCCCGTTCGATCCTTTCATTTGACGTTTCGAATGTGAAATTAGAAGCTAGAGAGGAGAACTTTGATGTTTGAGTCGCTGGTATGTTATCACGTTGCTGGTGGTCTTCGAGTAATTGCGTCTTTGAAAGGTCGTTCTACGTGACGCCGCGCGACAAACGCCTCAGGACGGAAAAATGCGCGCGGCAGAAATTTGCAAGGAATGTGTCATTTCTTTCTTGGACTTAATATTAATTTCTTAATATTAATTTCTTTTTTATTTAAGTCACTGAAATTATGACGACATTGTATAAATAACTCGTAAAAAAATTCGATTTATTTCCGAAATAGTAGTTAATTATTGAAAAAGCGTTTGATCTCTTTAGGAAGATGTCTGTGTTCGGATGTTCTTTTCTATATATATTTCCGTCAAAGGACGCAATGAAAGACCTCTTATGGGAAAGAACGCTGAAAAAAGCTCTTCAAGAAATTAACCCTTTTCTTTGTTTTAAATAAAATAAAAATTTTAAAATTAACGCTTTAATTCTACTCGTTATGGCACATCCTTTTAAAAAGTGGTCTTTTTTAGAAAACTTGTTTACTTGTTAACTTTTTTACAAAGTTACATACATTTACTTGATTCTGTTGCACTATGCATGTCTTGATTGAAAAAATACAATTTGTTACATTATATTCATTTTTGTAAAAGTTCTATAAGTAATTAAAATTGCGTCTGTAACAAAATAGTATAGTATTGCATTAAAGATTTAAGACGTTTTAAATATAAACGAGAATTTTGCTCTGGAGCTTAGAAGAAGGATATCTGTAAAGCTATAGCACCCCCTCCGCCATAAAAAATCAAAGCGGCACATATGCTAGAATTAAGTGCTTTTTATGTGCTAATTATGTGCTCTAATACTAATTTTTGTGCTCGAACGGTTTATCAAAAAATCGCGATTAAAAGGGGAGGTGCTGGCTTAACGTTAGCACCTTCTTCATTAAATTATACAAAAAATCAGTACAGTAAAATTATGTGCTTTCAAGATCAGAATTATTGTAACTATAACGGTTTAAAAGATATACGTCAATAAATTCGACACATCGGTACAAGAGTAAAGTGGCAGTTGAAATGCGGAGAGTGAATTGGTTGTAGGCTCAAATTGTTCCTCCATTTATGTGCTTTCAAAATATGCACAACGAGATTTTTGTGCCACCCTCTTTGACCAGTAAATCACCCCCGAAGTGATTACGCATCGCTACAAGAGTAAAGTGTCAGTTTATATGCGGAGAGCGAATTGATTGTAGGCTCAAATTGTTCTTCAATTTATGTGTTTTCAAAATATGCACAACGAGACTTTTTTATGTATTAAAAATTTCTAAAGATCAAAGAATTAATTACAGACAAAGTTAAAGATAATTCACTTTTTAATTAAATTATTAAGATAATATATGGGGTGTCGAGTGGCTCACCGCTCGATCTGTAGACCCGAGTTTAATCCCACCTGTGCCCACACGTAATTTTTCGCATGTAAGGAGTCGAAAATGGCTCCATCTGGTGATTAAGAGATCTATGATCACCATCGCTGTTCGAATCCGGCGTTAAGCTGTAGGTCCTGTATATAATCTATATCTCATCTCAAATAACCTGATGCGTTCCAATTGATTCTCACCCACCGCAAGTAGAATTGGACGATCAATACTTACTATTCTGTTGAAAACTTGAATATTAGTAATTAATTCATATACTTCTATCATATTCAATATATGATCAAATAACTTCTCACATTTATAGCGACGTGCTATGCACAATACTAAAAAATTAAAAAATATAAAGACAAAGTATAAAAGATGTTTAAAGATCTGATATTTTCTGAGTAAGTTACAATTTTTTTACGATGAATTTATTAGTTAGTAGAAATAAGGTTCTTAAAGAAATATTCTAGCCGAAGAAGACACTAAATAAGGCACATTTTAAAATTACTTTAAAATTCACTTTACACCAGGAGTAGGTATATTTAAATGAAATGCTATAGAAAGTATAATAATGTTTCATACAAGCATATGTTGTTTCAATGAAACAACTTTTAGTCAACTAGGAACATTAAATTCAAAGAAATTTTTTCCCTGTTATATTATTCAGTATTATTCAACTTCCTAACTTGGAAAGATAATAAATAAATCCATCTTATTTGAATCAACATGTTTTTTTAGATACAATGAACTCTTATTAAATAAGACCTACTTATGTAATTATTGTTAGGCTGTCGTTACTTATTTGTTATAAATCAGATTTACACCAGAGGATTTTCAATGCTGCTAACTGTTGAAAAGTTAAAATTACATTTAAATTGTAAGAAGTTTTCAAAGATTAAAAGATTAATTACAGATTAAATTAAAAATAATTATGATGTTTAAAAGTAGAGTAAGTCTAAAACGATTTCCTCTTTTCTGATTAATAATAATTTTAAAACTGCTTTAAAGAGATAATATTTGGTCTTTTTATTTTAAATTTATTTTTAATTTGAACTTTAATGTGTATATAAATCATATTATATTTATATGCATGTAGTGAAATCCAATATCAGAGTTAAAAGTATTTTTTGTTTATATAGAAATATTCTATAATAAAAGATATGTTTTGTTTTTATGATTAAGTGAAATAAATATTTTATTCTCATATAGTTTACTTCAATATCCTCATAATTAGAATTAAAAAAAATTAATTAGGTGAACTTTATTGAGCTCATAGGTACCTTATATACGTATATAAGACTGAAATTATCTTATAATTCCAAACTTGTTATATTGAGGAAATTATGTAAATTGAAACCGACACAATCGCTGTTGTTCGAACGTCAAGTTAATTGAGAGTATTATATAGTTAACGCAATCAATATGTAGTTAATTTAATAGGTATGATTATATGAATACAGTTTTAATGACAAAATGCATTATTATATTAACACAATAGCTTTTGATTATGAAATTAACGAATTATTAACGATTTTCTTTATAATATGTGTTTGCATCGTATGGAAATCCTTCTTTTGTAATTGTTCTGTACGTGTTATTATAATTTCTTCAAATAATATTAATATTTATCTAGCGAAAGTAAAACTTAACTCTCAATTTTCATAATGTTCCAATATTGTTTTAAAAGAATAATCTTGATATACAAATTCGAAAGATATTCTTAAAATATTCTGTTTTAAATATCTAATATGTTTCTTTTTATTTTCTCTGAATAAAGAAAATATCGTTGTTATTAGGATCTATATTCCCACGTGGATTAGGTAAAATTTATGATATATATAAATTATAACTGCAACAAGAGGGCAACACTAAAAGTGACGTCTAGAAGGGATTTTTGCGCACCAACGATCTAATATCTCATCGTTTTTTTTTCTCTCGTGAAATGAGCTCCCGATGTTTTAGTTTGCGTCATAGCAAAACTTGAAATTCTCATAAAATGGAAAACAAGAATTGTATCACCGAATGACATTCATGTTATATCGTTTAATTGCAGAATGCCGGTGAATGAGGGCGCGAGGGACGCACACGGGAGGTAACGACGCCCTTAAGGGTTGAACGGGGAAAATATGGTGCACGAGGACACGGGTCTATGGCACGCGGCGGGATTCAATGTATCGAAATGGCTTATGATCATAATACATGGATACCGGGTCACCACCCTCGTTCTATACATCCTGCTCAACGTACTGGTGCGCACCGGTAAGTACAACAACCACCTTCCGCTTTCCCCTTCGGTAGAGTATGTTTTTCCACGGAAAATTATTGTTTGCGCACACTCCTGTCGTCACAACCGAGCGGATTCCGGCGCTGCGTAAAAGTACAGCCAGCTTTGAGCGCTATTTGTATTGACTACCTCTTTTTGTTTTATTTACTTGACTTTCGTATATTCTCCCGAAAGTTTGTTCTGTAAATATCATACTTCTTTCAGTTTGAATATATTGGATTAAAATTTGTGTAGATCAATAACTACGTGAAGATTATTGTAATAATAACAATAGTAGTGTAAAACAAATCAAAATTTGTCTTGTGTGAAAAGGAGAGGGAATTAACGTTTCCGATTTCCATTAAATAATTTTTTTTATATTGTATTGGATTGACAAATAAGTTTGTTCTTGTTGTACAAAATTTTATTTACTTTATTACTTATTTATAATATTAATTTGTTATTTAGAACTTTGTATATACAACATTTTTATTAAAAATTGCACCAATAAATCAATTTCCTCGGTCTTAAAAGAGAAAATGTTACATCTCAATGAAATTTCGGTTTTGGCTAATCAAGTTGTCAAATTAAGTCAAATTAAGTAGAAATTTTGTTGATAATAAAAGTCGTGAGATAATAACGAGAATTGTTTTATAATTTTAAAATGACCGACAAAATAATATCAAACATGTTAAAAACATAAAAATTTTCAATAAAAAGAACTGCCAAATATATGTACTACACCAATGCTTTTTTAATTTAATAAATTCTGTTTGGCATAAAAAACGAAGTGAAACGTAGCACAAAGAATTTTATAATGTTGTTAAAAGAATGTTCTGTTTCTACTGTTTAAAATTTGATTATTATGAAAACATAAGGATTAAATCATTCGATTAGTTAGCTCATGTAAAATGCATGTGATTGAATACTTACACTTTCAATTCCATATATCTCTTTATTACAGGTCAGCGAAAGTTTGATTGTGAGAATAATAAATAAATTATTTGTTTCAGAATATCCTACAGCAGTAACGGCTGAAATAGTCGATGTTAACATGAACTCGTTGGACGGGACGACGGAAAAGCCTTTAGATGTCGACCTGCCACCAACCCTGCCGATGATCTTTGGTACAGAAAATTCAACATCGGTTTTGGCGCAATCAGGATCCACAGCCCTGATGCCCTGTGTTGTTCACAATCTAGGAGAGGGCACGGTAAGGGCTATTGAAACATGTAATCTATTGATTGATGCATGCAAATTTGATGTACAAATAAATGGAATGTAGATACAGAACTCCATTTATAGTATATTATTCTGAAAGTGTCAATGAAATACAATTTATTACATAGTATATATGTATAATATATAAAGAGTTTTCTTAACACGTATTTTTTAGAAATTGAAATATTTTATTCGATTATTTATAATATATTGATAAAAGATTTTTTAAAAACATATATGTATAATTACATGTGTGTGCAGTATATGTATAAACAGTTATATACAATCATCATCATATCTTAAAATTGGCGTGTCACGCTTTTTTGAAGCCTCTTTTCGTTGAGGCTGCTGGAATTCTCTGATTTTGATGTGGTTTCGTATTCGGGGATTTTCGGGGTCGATTATTTCGAATCTGTACTCAAAAATTGAAAATTCGAAATAGTGGATCCAATATGGCGGACGTAAAATTAACGTAAATCCTAAAGATTGTTCAATTTTGGTGAAATTAGATATATTGGTGATTTAGGGGGTGTTCGTTATAAATCCGTTCTCAAAAATTGAAAGTTCGAAATAGTTGATCCAATATGACGGACGGAAAAGTAACGGAAATCATAAAGATTGTTCGATTTTGGTGAAATTAGGTTTATTGGTGATTTAGGGGGCGTTCATTACGAATCCGTATTTAAAAATTGAAAGTTCAAAATGGCGTTTCGATTCAGTTTTCTAAAATCAGTTTTCGTTAATCTGGCGGATGGAATATAAGGAGGATTTTGGTTTTAGTGTTTTTGAAGTAGAATTTAAATTAGCAAAAAAAAGCCCTTCAAGAATATGTACTTGATTTTTCATTTGCTGCTATTTTTCTTTGTGGCTGTGCCAACTTTAGTCTTAAGTTAGCACAGCCACACTGTGGATCGAATCCTTCGACGTAAACGATGAGTAAAATGTCGGATTCTGGATATTCTTAGAGCAAATAATTCTAGAAACATTTTGAGACCAAAATGATCCCGGCAATTGATTGCTTCAATGTACTTTACTCTTGTACGCGACCCAGCACAGCCACACTATGGGTCGAATTTTTCGACGTAAACGATGAGCAAAATATCGGATTCTGGATCTTCTTAGAGCAAATAATGCTAGAAACATTTTGAGACCAAAATGATCCCGGCAATTGATTGCTTCAATGTACTTTACTCTTGTACGCGACCCAGCACAGCCACACTATGGGTCGAATTTTTCGACGTAAACGATGAGCAAAATATCGGATTCTGGATCTTCTTAGAGCAAATAATGCTAGAAACATTTTGAGACCAAAATGATCCCGGCAATTGATTGCTTCAATGTACTTTACTCTTGTACGCGACCCAGCACAGCCACACTATGGGTCGAATTTTTCGACGTAAACGATGAGCAAAATATCGGATTCTGGATCTTCTTAGAGCAAATAATGCTAGAAACATTTTGAGACCAAAATGATCCCGGCAATTGATTGCTTCAATGTACTTTACTCTTGTACGCGACCCAGCACAGCCACACTATGGGTCGAATTTTTCGACGTAAACGATGAGCAAAATATCGGATTCTGGATCTTCTTAGAGCAAATAATGCTAGAAACATTTTGAGACCAAAATGATCCCGGTAATTGATTGCTTTAATGTACTTTACTCTTGTACGCGAGTCAGCACAGCCACACTGCGAGCCACGCAACGGGTGGGACAGAGATAGAACTGTATTCTACAATGGGGGGAGGGGGGAGAGAGAGAGAGAGAGAGAGAGAGGACGAGTTGGAAAGAAAGAACGCAACGGGTTAGAGAGAGAAGGAACAAATTTCCATTCTCTTCTATCATGTACCCCGGTGATGCGCTTCCCCTTTCTCTCGGAATCAGTATTTAGAGAGTCTATAATAAGAGAGTCGCCAACTCACCACGTGATCCGAATCATGCACTAATTGGCTCGAGGCGCATGGGCTCGAAAATGTTAGAGTGACAGTGGGCACGTTCAAGTTGACAAAACGACTAGCCTGCTTGCCGAGCAAATGAACATAATTGGTCATTAATTATAGATCCAACCAATCATATTCGATCACTCGGCAAGCGTACCTAATCGCTTTGTCGTCTTGAACTCGCCCATTGACGGGAAGATAAAAGCCGCAGCTTATGTCATTGTCACTCTAATCTTTTCTGAGCGCCATGCGCCCCAAGTTAATCAACGCGATTCGGATCACCTGGTGAGTTGGCGACTCTCTGATCACAGGCTCTCTACACATACATACGGTATACGCACTATATATATATTATATATATATATATAACATATAGTGTCTAGAATTCTTTCTGTTTATCTACTACAATTAGTAGATAAATTATACACAGTCTCCTGATGGTTACAATAATTACACACTCTTAACTCAGATCGCAATGTGCTTATATTTTTATATTAATTATCACTGCTGGTTTTATTAATTTAACTCAAATTAAAAATGCGTTTTTTTAGGATTGAGATTTTAAAATTTCTCAGCTCTATATAAATATTCATCAGTATAACCATGGATTCATAATAATAACGATGCAACATCTGAATAGAAGACTGCACAAGGTTTTGTACGTTTATACTCTCTAGATATACCGGCCTTTTTAATTTGTATTTAACATTCATAATGACCCGATCGGTTTCGAAACTTGTATGCAAATAGTTTATTGTTTTATTAAAAAATTGTTTTAGCCCTTCTTATTGTCATTACTATTTTTGTTTAAAATGATTGTTTTACTTTACTAACATATTTAGTAGATATAATATCTATTATGTAAGTATAATATCTATTTTAATATAGGACTGTTTTGTATAATAATTCTAGAAACTATTTTCATAAAAACAGCATCTAAAAATTTGATTGTATTTTTGTAAAAATATGGTTTTTTTTTAATGGTATTTATTTACGTATGAGTCTGCAAGTCATATATAGGAAAATAAAGAAGTTGTAAAATTATGTTTTCAAAATTATATGCATTATATGATAACTATTATAATGTTACCACGATAAAATTTATAAGAATTGGAATATCATTTTGTGTCAGCAGGGGGAATAAAAAAAATATTAAGTAAATTGACTCACGCTTCATTTATTATTTATCTCATTTTTTAAATATATATGTTTTTAAAAAGGACGTAGGTATTAAATCGCGCGAAATATTTCAAGCACCTAGAACATACTTACATCCTTTGTTCGCAGGGTTAATGTTTTCAAATAGCTACGTATGCAGAATTATGATACGAGCAATTAATGTAATAACGAGCTGTGGACTGAGCAGCAAGCTGTAGTTACCGCGGCGTTACTGTTTGTATTCTACGGTCTACGGATGCGTATCAGTAGTTGCGGATCGCTATGTTGGACAGTAGTTTCTAACCGTTATAAACGGGCAGTCATTACTGTTCATTATATATGGACAGTAGTCACAGACTGTTATGACTAACAATTGCGACAGGTGCGTTGGCAATCTGTATTCCAATTACTGCATCATATATATAAAAGCCGCAGTAGTAAAATACCCAATTTTTTCATCTAGAAAAGCGAATAGATGAATATAACCACCGGCGTTCTAAAAATAATACAAAAGATTTTTAAATAATCATAACACATATTTTTTGCACGTTCCATTTTTATATGGTCTTTTTTTACATTCAATTTTAAGCATGCTTTTTGAACAAATAGGAGTTACTTTTTATTAATATGCATATATGAATTTAATTGAATGAATTCTATACGCGTAGTTTTGAAATTCTTAAGTTTTGCCATTTATTATATTAAATTCAATGCTTTTTTTCATGCTTGAAATAATTAATACAGATGTTAAAACTCCATATAGAGATTGAAAAGACCATTTATGCAATCTAGGATAAAAGTGAGATTTAAGTAAAAATTTTATCCGATTATTAAAATAGATACATAGAAAGTGACATTTATTAAAAGTAGCCTCTTTTTTACTTTCGTGAATAATACAATATTCATAGATATTAAATCACATTTTTTTATGAATTGATCTTTTTGATTGTTTGCAGGTGTCGTGGACCAAGCGAAAGAACTTAATGTTACACGAACTACTAACCGTAGGACTGACAACATACGCTAATGATGAACGGTTTCAGGCAATTCATTTCCACCACAGTGAAGATTGGACGCTTCAAATAAAATACGTCCAACCGAGGGATGCCGGACTGTATGAATGCCAAGTGTCCACGCATCCGCCTACGAGTATATTTCTGCTCCTTGATGTAGTCGGTAAGCAGAAATTTTTATTACGAAATTATATACTCATATATTTATAACTTTTAATGATGAGTGGTTCGCTACACCCTGCCTATTATGATAGTCTATAAAATACAATATAACATTATGTAATATTTTTATTTGATTTTATATTTTATGTTTAGTATGTAAGTCGTTATACATATAGCTCAAAATTAATTCTAATTTTATTCCTATTATCCTTTTGTACTTGAACGTGTATATAAAGTAATTGAACAGGCTATCTTAATATCTTTATTTGAGAAAATAAGCTGTGCTTTTTCATTTATATTTCAATTATTTCATTTCTTAAATGTTACGTTTCTTTGTAAGTGGTGATCGTGACACAGAGCGTAGCGTGATTGCTCTCTTATCTGTACCAGAGATCCAGAGTTAAAGTCCATCCAGAACATTAAATTTTATTTGATTGCCATCTCTCTCGAAAGGTAATAGTAAATCTCGGAGAGTATATTTGTCATCGTCTCTCAGACTCGGCGTTAGAAATTGTGTATATCCCATATTATCAGTGAATATACATATGTATACTTGCTACACGCATAGTAAGCATGACATAACGCCAATTCCTTCCTTCAAAAGATCACGTAGAATGGAAAAGGTTGGAAGAGGCCAATATCCAACAGTGGATTTTAATCAGACTGATATAGATAGATGTATTGTAAATGGCAAAAGATTAGAAGAAATGAGTAATAAATTTTGAATTTCGTGTTTTGAATGAACGAATTATATTTAGATAGATAAATTAACTTACCTTTTTTTAACAAATTTTTTAGAAAATAAAAATATTCAGCTTGTACTTATATTGTTTTATGTATTTATATATCAGCTTGTATATATATTTATTTTTTGAAATTCTCAATATAGTCACGAAAACTAATCAATCACAAATTTCTATATAATACCTAGATCGCTAACATGCTATATATTTGTTACTGATCAGCTACTTAGCTGAAGCCGGGACGCCATATTTACCCGGTCATCACATACATTACTTTGTGAAGTAGTGTTAGTGTGTACACTTTGCTTCGATTAGAGGACTCTAGCTTCGATTATAAAGTTAAAGCATGCTATAGTTTTGTCATAACCGGGTAAAAATGGTCTCTCCCTTGTCAAGTTGGCTTCTCCTCATTTACAGATCTAGGTATTTTATATTTCTATATATGTATATAGAAATCTATGATATCAATCAATACAAAATTATTCCTTTTATATAAATAAAATCCGACTAACATTTGGAATTCCGTTTTTCGTATTACTTTAAAGTTTGCGCCAATCAAAAATTTGTATAGTTGGCGGCCATTTGAATATTAAAATTATTCTTTTGTACTATATATTTTTTGTAATTATTTTTTATTTCTTTAAGATTTAGGAGGATCGCGGTTTCTTTGCTTCTCTCCTGCCTCCTCCGATTATTCTCATGTAGATCAAAGCTACGAAAGTTTTTCATATTCTTAACGATTTTGACAGTTCATGTATGCATATATCTGCACATTTTCTAGATATTCCTCGCGTAGCTGTTCTATCTTAGCCTGAAGTAGAGACCACAATTTTTTAATGTTTTCGTACGAACAGTCACAGGCACTTTTATTTAGATTTTATTATGCAGCAGGTGGGAAAGGATCGATACGAAAAATACTTTCGTTGTGTGTCGCGGGAATTTCGCGAAAATACGTTCTCAAAATTCTGAACGGGCGCCCGCAAAATATTTGCATTTAGATTTGGCTTTTTCCGGCGCATATCTCTTATGCACGAGGCTACCTAATTTCCTTGGGATTTTCCTGATCTTCTTTCGACGTCGCGTCGTACACATCACGTCGCCGCGTCGGTACTACTTGCCTTTAAGAATCACCAATGCGCGCATAATAGGTTTTTAATTTCCGTACGACTGAATTGGCTTCAAAATTGTATTGCGCGCTGTATAAATGCTCATAGTGAATACAGTATTATATAATTATTAATGCGTTATACAGAGCAGCTCTGTGAAGTCGGCACCCCTAAATGCGAATTTTGGTAAAATCATTATTGCATTCGTTTGTCTACTGTTTGTCCACGTTTGTCCACCCGTTATTTTCATTTGTCCATCCTCCAAAAAAAGTTATACACGAAAAAAATTGTAGCACCCCCAAGTAATTATTTTTCATTATTATGAAAAATATAATAAAAATAGGATAGACAAACGTGGACAAACAGTGGACAAACAAATGCAATAATGATTTTATCAAAATTCGCATTTAGGGGTGCCGACTTCACAGAACTGCTCTGTGAAGTTACATACTTATGTACGTTTCTTTGGAGGGTGGACAAATGAAAATAACGGGTGGACAAACGCGGACAAACAGTGGACAAACGAATGCAATAATGATTTTATCTTAAAGTTATGGTGTCAAATTGTACGTCTTGCAGAATTTTTTTCTCAAAAAGAAATGTTTCTAGAGATACAAAAAAAAATTGTATTTTTTACTTTGAAGAAAAGTATCAAGTGTGTTAAAAAACTATTTTAAAAAATAGTATTTTTTATCATATTATATAAAAGTCATTAAAAGAACATGTCGAATTCATATTAATTATGTTTAAAACGATTATATGGTGAAAAAAGATTTAAATTTGAATAAGTGCTAGCGTCGATTGAATATAGGAGTCGAAAATTAAGTTGTAGACCTAATATTACACGCAATCTCATAATTTGATTTTCAATAAAACGTTAATACCATTTTGGTATGACAATTAGAAATACTGTGGATCGATTTAATTCTATATTAACTTTCAATATATAATTGTTTAAATGCTTTAATTATATACACTGAAGAGGATTCGAACCGGGAATCAAAACACGCGCTCGCGTTTGTAGTATGATTAACTATTTAACTATTATATTAGAATAAATTAAACATGTCAATATCTGATGTTGATTTTTAAAAGCATTATTATTTATTGATTTATTTTTTCAGAGCCTTTAATTCCTTATAGTTTTATTGTCGTACATATCGATTTTCTATAATTTTCTGTAAACGAGGCAATTATTATTTATTGTATACTTAATTAATTTTGTTATTATATTTATTCATTCTGTCTGAATACGCTGATCAAGAAATAGTTTATTTTAATAGATACAACCAGCTTTTTTTTATTTTAACTTGAACAATATTTTAGCATTGTTTAAAAATCAGTTCTTTATTTTTTATCAATTAAAGAGGAATTTGTAACTGTTGTAGTTTGAAGCGCGAATAAAAGATTCAATCACACAGAAAAGTTATAAAAATTTAATTATATCATTATACAAACATTCTCACTTGTAGATTCATATTGACCTTGATTTGATTTTTTACAGTTTCTCATAAATTAGTGAATTATCATTATTCATTAAATTTTATTTGTATACCTTCTTATTTCATATATTTTGTTTTGTTTATTCTTATTATTAGGGAATAATTTCAAACTTCGATTTTTATTTTTTCAAATACAAGTTGAGTGATAGCATAAAAAGTGAGTATTTACCATGTTAACATATTTGATATTATGTACAGTTTTTCGTCACTATTATCAGGAGCAAAGCTCTATGAATAGTAAGAGAGAAAAATTCACCCGCAGATCTATGCCGCACTTTTCAGGAGTAACATCGGGAACCTTTGTCAAAGAGAGGATAAAGTCTGGAGCTTGCGTAAATGCCGAGTAAAGGCTATCAAAAAAATCATGCAAGCATCAAACAAAGACATATGCTCTAGTGATTTGAAACTGCAACAGCCCCTAGGAATCAATACCCATTCATTCCGGGGAGCCCTCAGACCGCGCGTAAACGTTTCGAATCACATTTCGACTATCATTTGCTGCCGCTTGGTTGTGACAGTAATAAAAGCGTATCTGGACTAGCTGATGCAGGTGTTGGCGGCGAGTTTCTCTCACACACCTGATCCTATAATGCCTCGTCGCGCTGCCGACGCGCGGCGTGTCAAGTCGAGTGAGAGGACGAAACGCATCCGAGCATGAGCGGACTTAAAATTCCCGGAGCCTCTCATACGAGATACCGCAAAATGTGAGTCATCCCGACAGTATTTCTCAAAGTCAGGATCAAAAATTTCTTCAAAATTCTTCTATGTCACTAAAATGCAGTCAATTTTTGTTAAAAAATTTTGACAATATTATGGTACTGTTACGAGTATTGTTATCCAAAGCCACAGGAACTTCATAGAATTGTAATAGTTAATCAAATTAATGCATTGAGTGTGAAATAACAGTTTGTATATTAATATAGTAGAATTGAATAAAAGATTTACGTCCAAATAGAAAATAATTATTCCTGTGCTACAAAATACAACATTAGAAGAAAATTCACCGTTTGTTGTACATGAATTTAAAAAATTTCACTCTTTTTATCTATTGCTGGTGTGTGTATACAGAAATAATAGAAATAGATTACATTATCGATAAAAAGAGTTATGTATCATTTTCTATGTGTGTGTGATGTGTCAATAATTTATTTCTAAAAATGAACACAGAACTAACATTTTCAAAAATCAATAATTTGAAATGTTCGACGTCTAAAACAAAGTACTTTGTATTAGATGTCGAACGCAAAAATGGATAACTAACGGCAGACGTAAATCCTTTTCCAAAATACACAGCTGTCAAGATATAAAGCTCATATCACGTATTTGTAATTACTTTGAAATATTACATTCAAATCGTGAATTTATCAATGGTATTTTAGTTTGATTTAAATTTTAAATAGTTTGAGAGCTCCATGTCATACGCTATTCAGTGTTATCGATTCACAAATCAATAGAGGCGCAGTTCAGAGGAAAGAATAAACTGTTTCAATTTACAATAAAATCCGTTAAAATTCTATAGAAGCACAACAATTGATAACGGAAAGATATAAAAAAAGATTATCATGTCATTCTTAATTGATTAGCGATATATGATGATAATCCGTGACAGTGTAAGATATACCTATATCTATACAATTTTCAATCTCCGTTAATGTATTATTTTTTTCACTTAAATAGCTTTATTCAATTCAATTAAAATGAACAACTTTTAAAATTTAATAGACTGTATTAAATTTCTATGACAAGAGCAAATGAATATTGAATATCGATTATTTAAATCAGATTAATAATCTCCTCGAGGTAATTATTATAGAAAATATTACACTGAATGACAACTGATAGAGTAATAAGGTCAGTAAAACCGATTAGGAAAATCATAATAATATTTTTAGCATAATTTTACACGGTTTGAATAGCAGTAACTGTTACTCTGCGTATTAAGTCGCCGATATATTAGGATTTTTATATAAATAGCAATATTGCTTGCATAGTGACAATTGTCCTACGTAAAAAAGTGCTGTGTAGGGCATACAGTTCCATGGAATACCGTCTAATTGAATACTTAATTAATAGACAATTTGCTCAATGGAGTGAATTATTTGAGAAATTAATTATCTCGAGAGAGAATTGCTTATCGGGTAATTAATCATTGTAATACATGCGTTTCTTTGACCCACATTAACTAGCGAAAAAATAAACTATAAAATTTTTTATTTCTTTTAATATTTTCGATAATAAGTAATTAATATAGGTTTTTTTGCCTTGTATGTTTAACATTTACTATTAAAATTAAGAAAACCAATATTTTTGTTTTTGGAAAGAAATGAGTATCGAAATTAATATCCTTATGACTAATATTATGTCATATATGCAATTGATGCTCAGTTAATGGAAACAGCAACGGATTTGATGCTTTAGATGAAAGATTAATTATGCAGTCGAACTACTTTCATACAAATACTAAATATTTATTACAACGTATTACGTACACGTATTAATTATAATTCTATAATTATTGGATAAAACATCCTATCACATCGTTTCCGATAAATCACCTTGCTATGGCAATTGCATCAATTCCATATTACACAAATCTCATAGACCAAACATCATTGGGACTATACTCGTCAGAGAAATATCCTATTATAGCCATTAAAAATTATGACTATTCATTACTATAGTCATAATTATTACTAAATTACGACAAGGACGTTTGTGAACAATTATATTAAAATATTACTACGTATAAAACATAAAGATGATGTAATTAATTATAATGTAGCTTTTGATAAAAGAATAGATAACAATTCTTATTATTTACTTATATTTCTTGCTTCATCATAGTTTATTAAAATGAATATTTTTGAAGTTTGTTAAAAATTATATTTTGAAGGATAGTATAATCAATATATGAGAGACCCTAGCAGGATATTCAAGATTCTGTCACTCTTATACGAGCTATTCCTTTCTCTTGCCCTCGGGACAGGCTTGCCACATACCCATGATAGTAAACAATGCCTCGATGTCTAGCCAAGTTTACGAACGATCATTCACGTCTCGTGTATCACGTTTGGTCATTTGCAGAAGCCAGAGCGGAGATAGTCGGACCGGCGGAGAAATTTGTGAGGCCTGGTAGCACATTGCAACTTCACTGTCTGGTAAAGAAGTCCACAGAAATACCATCGTACTTCTTCTGGTATCACAATTTCCGGATGATCAATTACGACGTTGATCAAGGCGTCAACGTTAGCACTGATCTCGTTGGTCGGGAGAGCTGGCTGGAGGTACCAAAAGCATCAGATCGTCACTCGGGTAACTACACTTGCGAGGCTAGTAATGCCCAGCCGGCACGAATTCTGGTGCATGTTTTCAAAGGTGATAATCCAGCCGCCATGCAGCACAGCATGGCATCATCGCCGTCAGTGATGGCCTGTACCGTGTTACTCACCACGTTCGTTACGCTCAAGCTAGCTTTGCAGACAAACTGGAGTTTATGACGTGCATAAGTGCAAGACTCGTGTAAACCCGGAGTGTGTTAGCGAAATTGTGTAATATTGTCATTTTTGTGTCGCGTGATATTCATATTCATATGTGAAGATGTGCTCTTGTTACAATCGCCGAAGTTAGAACGGCAACATGTTTATTTATGGTGGTTCCAATTAAAGATTCATCATTATTATCAGAAAGGCTACCGGAACATTTCAAGCTGTAAGATTGGCTGTGATTGCGATACTGTTTATTTGACGATCAACCTTACGCTCTACACTGCCGGACAAAGTAGTATAGAAAAATTAGCTGTGATTATTTGTGTCATCACGAGGCAAACGTCTATTTAATCTATTATGTATATGTACATCTAATCATAGAGTTCAAGAAAGAATATGCAACAACGTAATATGCTAATGCAAAACAGGATAATTATAACCATCATTGTGGGATTAGTAGTGATCTATCATCATGTGATCGATGGTACATGTATACCAAAAATTTTTAATCAGGAAATAGTGTATCCAACAAAGATCAATATAATAAAAGTATAATGGTAACACACACATCTTGTTTGCACATGTATTTGAACGATCATTTGTCGGACGAAAGAAGTTGAATGTTGGAACGAAATGTCACCATACTCGAGTCACTTATATCATCCATTCTTCTGTAGAACGGTCGTTTACATTTTGTGTTTACATGTTGGAACGAGAAATATTAGGTTGCAGTGCAAAAGCGGACGGTATGAATGCTAAATTAACTCACACTAAAATTGTATTCACTATCGTCTATGACTCTCATACTTGCAATGGAAATAAACGAAGACAGATTTGTCAATCCGAGTAATATGTATAAAGAATATGACGTATCATTTTGATGAATCGAAACTTCTATGAGTCCGTGAATGTGATATGTGAATGCCAGTTAGAGAGATTTTGCGAGATTTATTTACCCGCTCGTATTTTGTGATGCAACGTGATATGTATGTAATTTAGTGTTTAAATCGATAGAAAAATTATGCACATAACAGATACTCCATCATGCGTTCGTCCTACTTGTGACGCACTGGAAAGAAAGATCGATAGCCCGGGTCAAAGTTATCTGCGATGCATCAAATCGCGATGTATAAGCAGCAACGATTGCCACGACGATGCATTAAAGTAAAGTAATAATAATGCTGCAACGAAGGTACTGTAAATATGTTGCAGGAAAAGTATGGCTTCGAAAATTAACGAAAGTAACGTCTTCTTACGGCCGGCCTAAGATATTTACTTTATTGATGGATTAATATTGATTAACGAAAGTCTGATACAATATTATCTTTGAAAGCTCCAGGCAACACTTTGATAAGTGGTAAATGAACACGACTGAAAGTAACGTTGAGATTAAACAAACTGAACTTGATACTATGTGTTCCTAGAAGGATTCTCTAAAACTAGCGTGCGCGTGCACATGCAAACATTTATTAAAGTATAGGATGCAAAATTATTGTGTCAACATTCCTTTATAATTAAAAGCTTAATGAACTTCAATACGAAAGGATGTTAAACCGTTCGCATCAATAGGTAAATTTGTGAAAAAATCATCTTATTAAATAAAAATATATTATATCAAAATATTTTTGGAATACAATTTGCTTATTATCTAGTATAAATATTTATCGTTAAAAAGATTATTTAAAATAAACTGAAAGTATACACAGATTTATATGCAAGAACAATCATAAATTCGACGAATTCGTCTTTTAAATGTCTTTTAAGTATCGAAAATAGGGATGTTTATGGCTGTTCGATAATATCTTGTACATTCGATATTTTTTGCAGCTCGGTGTAAAAATAGCGAATAAAAAATTATAAATAAAATATCGACTAGATATTTTTTAACTATTCATATTCACTCTTTTCACGAACGTTCTTAATTTTTAAAACTTTCTTCTTAGAAGGCCTACCTATTCAAAACTTACATAACCGTACAGTATTTAAAAAATCCATATAAAACCAATAAAATGTTTTATATAAAAGTTGCTATAATGTTGATATTGCATGATATTTTGATTATTCAGAATAATAAAAGTAAATATTTATCCTGATTGATATAATTTCATGTAATCTCAATCTTCAAGTTCCATTTACTTCTATTTCTTGAATGCACAAATTCTATAAACATTAAATCTTTCTAAGGATTTTAGCAATGACTGACGAATCGTTTTGTATGTAATCGGGGCTCCAACCTTTCCTATATAAAATATTAAGGTTTTTTTTCGTTTGTAAGCTTCATTAAAAAGTTGAGACTGTATTATAATTTTATTTAGTTTTTGAAAGACATGTTCATTATTCGATATGTTCGATAACGCTTATTTATTCAAGATGAATATAAATAGTTTTTAAACATCTGAATATATTTCTAGTCGATATTTTTGTTTGATATTGACAAATTTAATAAAAAATGATGCGATCGGTTTAAGTAACGTTAAGCATATACGTAATTAACGGTAATTATTCTGCTTATTTTATCTCTGATTATCTATCTTTAATTATATGCGATATAGATATCTGAAGCTCTGCACGCAATACGAGACAACAGCGGTAAGAATAAACACAGAATTCCAATCAGTTCGTTAAAGTTTTATCACTATTGTCTATTCTGTGTTCCAATCTGCATTGACATATGCATTCCTGTACATTGGATTCATTTGTTTCTATCACTACGCTTATTATTGTCTGTGTCATTTCTGTTGCTATCGCTGTTGCCTCACATTGTATTTAGTGTTTAGAGCTTAACTATCTTGTTCGACACTCGAGAAAGACGTTCTTTTGTTTGAATACACAGAAAACTCTTCTCCATCAAACAAACAGAATTCATATTACTGAGCGACCTATTTAAGGGGATGATGAAGTGACAGAACTTGACCAATATCGATAATATAAACTTTTTTAATTCCAAATTTAAAATGCTGATAATAGTGACATCTTTAATTTATTTCTTATATTATTATTCTATTTTACTCAAATCGTCAAAAACATATATCTGTCCTTATCTAACTATATTGCAATGCCGTCATTTGCAAGATCTGACATCTACTGTTAGACACAATTACTATATTGTTTATCGTTCTGAGTTTTTGCTCAGCACACATAATTTGCAAATCTATATAAATGTTTTCTTAGCCTTTAATCTTATTTCTATACATTCAGTATTGTTCGTTCACATAATCCGCTTTAACTGTTATTTCGTCTATACGAATTGTAAAACTTTTCTATTAAGTTAGGAAAATATCAGGTAAATTTTCAGCTCTACGAGTTGAAAAATACGAGTTATCTTTTTTTTTATTTTAGTATAAAGTCGACTATTTTAATCGACTATATCACTTTTAAGTTTTGTGACTATTTCAACCCTTAAAAAGGAATTTTTCATTTCATTCAGTCAGTTCGAAGATTTTTATACAGCTGTAATATATCAATAATTTCGTGTCATTCCAACATTCCCTTAATATGACTGATGTTATGTGAAAGAGTACGATGCGTATGATTTCCTGAAATCAAAAATTTTTTAATTGGTTTATAAGTGTCACGATTAACCTTGTGCATCTTCAATCGAAAATGCAAGCAATAGCGATAACCCTTTACTCTGTGTGCGAGATACTGACACTGACAAATTACAGAGTTTAAAACTTGTTAATCTTGATTATCATCCTTATCGCACTGCCATCGTCGATACAAGCGATGAGAAATTGTAAAGACGAAAGATCGTACGAACAAACCAGAAGAGTCGACAAAGTTGCAAAGTATATTGCGTGTTTTCGAAAGTTTATTCTAAAGTTGACGTTAAACTGCAGACTGCTGAAATCACCGGATTTAATGCGCAGCATCTACCCGGAAGTTGGCACAACGCGAACGAACTTAAGCCGACTACCGTTAAAGAAAAAGAATTAATTAACTAACATTACTAACTTTTCTTGACGTTGCGTATTTTGGGAGAACGTTTATTGCCAAAATTTAACGGATAATAATAAGTTTCGGTATATATATATTTTCATTTAAATATTATATATAAGTAGTTATTTTATATATATTTCATGCAGAAATTATTTTCTAAACACTATTTTTTTAATTACAAATTGCAATTTAAATATCTTTAAAATAAAATAATATCGGAAAAAAGTGAGAAAAGACAGATCTAATATAGAATCTCATAAAGCTGCAGAAATTTATAAAATTAATGAGTGTACATATAAATTTTATAATATGAAAAATGATTTTCCAATATTGTTAAAAAATTTATTACACGAGTTCCTATTTTAATCACTATAAGAATATAATCATAAATCAAAATATTCAGAGTGTGTACATTAAGCGTATAATTTTTAATAACGCTGCAATTCCCCCTCGGTCGGACTCGACTTCAGCAAATTCAAGTCACAGCCGAATGTAAGCGACTCTTATAGAGAATAATCTCATAGAGAGAATAATCTTCGGTCTACGTAACCGGCGCACAATTAATCGCGGTAATCCTGGTGTGATGCAGCACAGCCTAACAATATTATCCTCCGTCGCTACACCGCTGACCTTGTTTATAACGTCGAAATTATATTCAACATTCGCGAGAGATCGTATTTCCAGCTGCAAGTTACGAGAAACATTTCCCAGCGGATTTCAGGGCATCGTTGTGTATGCAGTTCGCATTTAACCTTGAGGCACACGCGTTGAGAATAGAAACAGGTAGTAGTTGGATTTGATATTAATAAGTACTCTCATAAAAAAAGAGGGAAAAATACTTCTCAGTGAGACTTGTCCAGAGTTGCGTATCAGTTCTACGGTACGATACTCTAGTTTCAACGATTTTCATGAAACGTTTCCATTGTTTTTCCTTCCTCTGGCCTGGCATTTGTTCCTTTCGCTTTTTTTTTTTTGCGATTTCAGCGGTGAAATATTGTGGAAAATATGTCGCATTGGATTTATTCGCTGTCGAAACTGATACGATCATGCTCTGTTGTCCGTTTTTGATGATTGCTACTTTTTTCTGCGTTTTGCCGAGGAACACAAAATTTGCACTAGATCGTTTTGATCTACTAGATTTGTCTCGTGAAATAGAAGTGGCGATCGTGCCACTGTCCGCTCGTAATGATTGATACTTTTTTGACGTTTTGCTGAGAAACGAAATCTGTTATATCATTCCGAACTAGGCGGATCTCTATCGTGTTACTACAAAAATAGATCGGCGTTTTTCGTTTCATAAAAAATTTATTTTATAACTTAATGCTTTTTTTGATTAATTTAATTAGACTAATAATTAAATATACCACAAATAATTACGGTAGAGAAATGTATGGTCAATAAAATTTTTCTACCTACGAGCAAAAAAATGGAAACAGGCGGCTTGTCCGACAGTGCTGCGGGTTTAAATACTTGTTTCATTTACCTCTGTCCTCCATTAATTCATTATCCAGCAATAGACGTCCCCAGTGGCTATGTATCATGTGCATTTTCGATGGAAATAATCCCTCGTATTGCGAATGGCACTCAACAAACGCATCACTCATTGTCGCTGAATGAAGATATCTCGTTAATGTACGAAAATCCGTTCAATTTATATAATAGATTTTTAACTAATACCGAAAAACTCGTTTCACATAATAACTGACATTGGGAAGGAATCGATTGACGGTACAATTTTAAATAACTTTAAGCAGTAATATTTATGTAATTATATCGTCTGGAATATTGCTTAATCACTAAGCGTATAATAAATGGTTTAAACATCCATAGTTCTTTAATGTAATTACTCTCCTATTGTGTATTTAAAAAATATATTTGCAAATAATTACAAATTGATCAATTCCAGGAAATAAAAGTGCTTAGTTTCTAATTTTAGTAATAAACTATATTTTTGTTATTGCTACCGATATTAGATTTATTATTTTATCCAGATATATTAATGTAGAATATCGTATATACAGAAGTCCTGAAAGTAGGTGATCAAACTTCGGTATCATATTCCACTGTCATCTACAAGGATTAAAGAACGTCATATAAACAGGTTCGAAAATTCTTCCTTTTTAAAATATAAACACTTTTTTGTAAGAGAATATTTTAAAGATCTGTAATTTGTACTTGTTTGAAGAAGTTGTTGAAAATGACTGCATTGTATTCACGATGGACATTAAGATTCTCTACAGTTTCCATAAGTTCTATTTTTTCTATTTTTCAGTTCAATCTATTTTTCCAGTTTCGTAGTCTTTTTTACATTAATGTTCGGTGCTTTACTAGTAATTGCGCTCCTTGTTCTCATCTTTTCATACAATTGCAACTTTTGTTTGAACTTTTTCATATTTCTAGCTCCATACAAGATGCTTTTATTCATTAATTGATCATCTATACCGTCAATGACGTACTGATAATGCTTCTTCTATCTTACCTCTTATCGTTATTTCCTTCTTAGTAAGAAAATATGTTTAGAGATTCATCTTTTTAATCTTTCCCTTATCTCCATTTGTCGGTGCAATTCGGCACTAAGTCATCTTGTCACTGCATTCGTCCAGGAGTGCCTTTTTTTAATGTTTCCCACGTAGTTGAACCTCGTTCTCCTTGGATGTACGGCTTGGTTAATCCTTGCAACGACTTTTTGGCTAATATTATTTTTTTATATCCGTCTAATACTAAAATTCAGTTTCTTCAAAGTCTTCTCTCAGAGTAAGCGTCGATTCGGCAAGGACGGCCAACAAAAGTATGAGATACAACGCGAAAATACGGGTCAATCTTCTCTACAGAGTCGCGTAACTCTGCCGGTTCGTTAAAAATACAAAAGAGTACATCCGCAACGCGAATAGTGTTAAGTGGATATTGTAAAGAAGAAAGATAAAGACGTAAGTAATGAATAAAGAATTTATTTTTATAAAAATAATATGCGAGTGTAATTTTGCCACCGGAGAATCCCTCGCTGAATCCTAAACTCGTACCATATATATTATAGATTACGGCATTAGTAATTGGTAACGACGCATTCTCCAGTTGCACGAAACCGGCAACTTACGCGCAATACCTTTTTAAAAAGTTAAAAATCTTGCTAGGATATGTCATACCCCACCTGGTTCAAAGAAGGTTAACAGTATTATCTCGTCGATGCTTTCAATCTGTCTTTGAGATTATATATATAAGATATATAATTATCCTATTTATGCAGGTATTTAAACCCTCTTTATTACAAATTACATAGTTCTCTTATAAAATATGTAGTATCCATTTATAGTTTATGATCCGGCTTCACAAATTTTTTCATTTTTGCTTTATCCCGTGTCCTAAAATAAATAAAAAGTATTATAAATAATATACTAAAAATTATTTATGATATATAAATAAAAAGAATCACGTTTTTTTTAAATGACCCCAATCCAATTGTTCCGAGATATCGTAGCTTTTATAAACAATCAACAAATGGTTACGTTTAGGAACATGTTCAACAAAAAATTACTTTTTTCTAATACGGAGAACAAGACTAGTAATTTTTTAAATAATTTTTTAGATGCGCTGAATACGAATTACAGAATACGTTTTCTATGTTGCACCATCACGTCATAATTTTAATAAATTTGCAATTCAATTCACAAATAAGGTTCATTTTATGTCATATAACGATAATGTATGATATATTGGAGAAGTTTTATTGCAATCACTATATTATTAAGATTTTCAGTTCTCAAAAGGATTTTTTAGTGCCGGCTATAGTTAATGAGATATTCATAATTAAATATGAGGTCTATTATAGAAAAGCTGGTAATTAAGTTGATGATTTAACAAATAGCTTTCGACTATATTATGGACTCATTATATACGCATGTACTCATTATAAAAATATACATAACAGAATTAAGTTATTTTAAAGAGATGGTAAACACTCAGATTCTGTGAGAGTTCAAAACTTCTTTGGTTTGTTATGACTATGGCAATAGAAATATTTATTGAGAAACATAAAAAAACATATCAATAAAATTAGTAATTAATAATTTTCATATACTAATTATTTGTCTTTGTCAATGACTACACAGCATCATTAATCGGATTTAATAACATTTGTAGTTATAAATCTGACCAACCATAGCTATTCCTGAAGAATTGAATGACTGGCCAGTTTCATAACTATGGATGCATGTTATTAAACCCGATTAAGAGTACCGTGTAAATGTAGTCTAATTCTTCTCTTTTGTACTTCAGAATCTTTTCCTTAATCAAATTCTATCAAATCATCTTATTTGAAATTATAATAAATTCAATAATTTCATAAAATAAGCAAAGAAATTATAATAAATTCACTCTTATTGCATCTACTTTTTTTTATACTTACAATTTTATGATGGCTGGTGGAATAATGTTTCTCTGTTGAAGTGATTTATACCGATCTTTCAATAAACTGTTAGAAGGTTTACAATTTCTCAAATTGCCAGTCAATTCTTCTGCAAGCTGAAAATCTGGATCAATAGGTTCAAACTTTATCTTACTCAGGGTTTTTGGCATAAGAGATTCTCTCTCGCGTTTCTTCATTCGCTTTTGTCGTAAGAATTCTTGCTTTTTCTCCTTAGCCTCTAATTGTTTTTGCAGATTCCTCAACTTATAGATATCAGCAACTTTTCTTTTTTCAAGTTTGATCAATGCACGTTCCTTAATTGCTTGTTTTTGTTCTCGTTGTTTTCTTTTTTGAACACGTGTCTTTTTAACATTATTTCTAGATTTATTATTTGCTATTATGATAGATAAATTTTCTTCATTATCATCCTCAATGGATTCAAAATTTGATGCGGTTTGATTATTTGGCAAACCTTCTAACATTTCTTTCATCATATTTTCTTCTTTTTTTTGTAATGAAACCTGAACAAGCAAATAATTTGATATTACAAATTCATATTCAAAATATAAATTAAAAGAATATCTAAATTAGAAATTGGCAAGGCTATAAAAAAATTATATTATATATATATTAATAATATAAAAATACTATTTATTGAAAGTGGGAATATATATAAACATGAAATTATTAATATTACATGTAAATACAAAAAGAAATAAATTTTATATTATAATAAAAAATACAAAATAAAGATTTATATAAAAAAAAGTAACATAATGATTTACCTTTTTAAACATTTGAGTTGTAACCCTGTTTAAATGTTCATCTTGCTTTATAAGCTCCAATTCTTTCTGCACAATATTATGCAACAATTCCTGATGATCATCATATGATGGATTATAAGATGTACCTGGATGTGGAATCTCCACTGCAGGTAAAACAGATGGTTTTTTACATAATAATGGCAATTTTCTTTTTTTCATTCCCAAATGCTTAAGCGTATGCCTAATGCTGTTTGAAGACAACCATTCAGTATCTGTTTCTGACAACAAGACATTTGTGCTATTCCATATATCTTCTTTAACCCTATCACCCCTCTTAGGACGATTTGCTGAAGCAACCTTTGCAAGTATTCTATTCTTCAGTGCTTCCTTTTCTTTTAATTTAAGAACACCCTTTAATTTCCTTTCAACTTCACGTTGACGTAATATAGAATTCATGCGTTCTTCTTTAGTTCTTACTCGATTTCTTTTAGAAATTGGATCAGGAACACATGTATGTGATTTCAAAGAAGCGAAACATCTTGGTTCTTTATTTTTCAATGCTAATCTGGTAGCACGTTTAGAAATTACATTTTCAGTTACATGAGCAGTTTTGTCTACGGTGAACAATTGAGTATCTGTACGTTCAGAAAAACGAATACCCAACCGTTCCTCTAATCTATTGTTATCTAAAAATGTATCTACATCATTGGTATCAATGTACTTCCTCCATGATCTTTTTGTCTTTTTAGAGACTTTATGCTTTTTAATTTTCGTATCGAGCATCTCTCTGAAAATAAATTTTATATATAATTTTTTATAATTTTTAATTCAAATTTTGTCAATTTTTAATTTTAATATATCTATAAAGAGTTAAATAGAGTTAAATCTTTAGGTATTGATTTTTTCGGCAGCTAAACCGTATAAGGTAAAAAAAAGTTTTGCGATAACCGAATATGCGAATAAGAAAATCTAACCTCACCTCATCGTTAGTAATTCTAATTCTTGAAGTCTCCTTCTTCTTCTTCTTCTTTAATTAATAGCTCCCGCTTTCGAGTATAATAGGAGGTCGATACGGCCAAATCACGTAAATCAAAGAATAGGGAGAAGAAGAACGGAAGGCTCCATACACGACACATGTAAAGCCAACAGCACACGTGTTTGTTTTCCTGCTGGGGTGCGTTCCAAAACTTGACTCTTCAACTCCGAGTATGTTTTATCTTTGTTGTTCATTGAATGATGAGTCAAGTTTTGGAACGCACCCTTACTGCATCATGAAGTCTGTTCGCGTTGCTTGAAATTTCCAAACTTAAAAAAGATAGATATATATTTGGGCGTTGAAAAGAGAGAAAGCAAAGCTGCAGCTGAGTGCAAAAATTATTAGCATCACGAACAAACTTATGGTCTACTTTCATCTTGGCCCATGAAAGGGAGTGGTCACTAATCATCATAGGTTAGAGAATTTTTAATCTACATTCGTTTTCATAAAAGGTCATGTTACGTTCGCTGAATTCGGATTGGCTGTTTACTTAAAATCTGATACGATTCATACGGAATATAGGTAATTGACGGAATATGTCAGCTACGTGATAAATAGCCTCATTGTATTATTCGTGTAATCTATTCGATATTTATGTTATCAGGTATTTTATTGTTGATTAAACAGTTGGTTAAACGAGCAAAAATAATTTATATAGTTATTAATATTTCTGGAGTATGGAGTTCCAAGATTATGTGTCATCAAATTAATATTATTTATAATATTCGTCAATACATTAAACAACAATGTAATGTTAGAAACTGATAAATAGCAGAGTGAGAGAATGGTTGATTTTTCAATTTTTGGTTAACTTGTGTTTAAACTTAACCTGATGATAATGTGAAAATTGTATTTTTCTAGTATATCATATCGTAGTTAATCTCTGAATTGATGATTTTATAGGGAAAAACTTATTAAAGTTATTATTACAAAATCAATTTGGTGATTAATCATAGCTAGAAAAATAATAATTTTTATATTATTATTGAAGTAAGTGAGGTTAAATCTAAATAAATAAAACTAATAAATTAGGAAAAGAAAGAGATATCCATAAATAATTCATGCAAAATATAATGAAAAAATTGAACATTAGATCTGTATTTTTACAGTTGAATGAGTATATTCTGTATACAAAATAAGTACATGTTTAAAATTTAACGAAAGCGTAAAATAAAGTTATACTATAGTTTTGTGTAGCAAGAAAAAACAAATCTATTATTGACTTAGTGTATATTAAATTTGCAGCATTTCTATTAATCTTTATTATTTGTTTTAACGTGTTTTTAATAATGTTCCAATAATAGAGATTATCTTAAAGATTATTTATCTTAAATTGATCATAGGCGAGTAGAAAAACAAGATTGCTAGAAGTGTTTGTCAACGTTAAAACATAATCGTCTTCTTCCATTAAAATATGCCAGGGTAAGCATCATCTCTTTGAAAAATGTTAATTTTTTGCATAAGCATATAGTACACAACTGTATGTAACAGAAAACTAACTGTTGTTTTCTTGATAACAGAAAAAATGTGCATACATAATTGTCTACGTTATCCAAATAACAAACTTATAAAATTACCTTGATTGTATTCACAACATGCTTCGGCTCAACCTCTCTGTTCAATTTCAATGAAGTTTTATAGATATGTACCTAAATATAATCAAATCTGTAAATGTAGAGTTGTGGAAATCAATTGGGTAACTACTTAATGTAATCATGGTACAATGTTTCCAAAATTAATCTGAAATTCTTATGAAATCTTCATATAATCATTTTGTGATCAGATATAATTGTGAAATTAGATAAAATCATAATCATAAATGAATCATATGCAGCAAAAATCATTTTGAAATCCTATGTAATTACTGAAAATCTGATAAAATCATGTTCTGCTACTTTAGAATTATTTCTACTGATTTTATCAGATTTCATAGTAATTACATATGATTTTATTGTAAATTTTATGATGATTATACATGATTCACGAATTATATTTTTGTACCAAAATCTTAAAAAAACGTTAATTAAATAAGTCGTTATATAAATATAATTAAATAATAGTCGATTAAATAAGTCTTAAATATTTCAAAAATGGAGTATTTTCGCAACTTTGCATTTTATGGATTTGTTTACATTTAGTTAGTACTATATATCTGTAAAATTTCATTGAAATTAGACTTGGGTAATATACGGAATTCTCACCCAAGCTTCTATTGTTTATTGATTAATTAGCTACAAATTTACAATTAAAACATTTATTAAACCACATTATGTTAAAATATTTATAAAAATATTATTTGTTACAGGGTTACAGAAATGTCATTGGATCATATGTTTTGTTCCCGGTGCAGAGAAGGTTTTGTTGCGCATGAAAAAATTGTTAATTCAAATGGTGAATTGTGGCATCCGGAGTGTTTTGTGTAAGTATGTACAGGATAACAATTGGCCTGAATAGCCAAATCTGTCAAACAGAGATTTTGGAAATGTCTACTAGAAATGTTAAAAGATGCCAACAAAAATTTAACAGAATTTTATTTTCTAAGAATTTAAAATCATTTTTTAAATGAAAATATCTGTCTCTGTGATGAAATTTAGAAATATATCATTGAATGCAATTAATCATGTCACATTTTTTACTTTTCTTAATATTTAATTTTTTCTATAAGTTAATTATTATTCTTATGATGTATGTTAATATAAATAACATTTCTTTTACGATATAATGTTTAATTAATTTCATTTTATTTAAATACGAAATAATAATTATTGAATTTTGGCAACTTTTGTGATCTTGTGTATGTATCATTCTTTTATTTGATTTAATTTTCATAAATTCCATAATATTTTTTAAGAAGTTTTTTTACAAATTGCATACTCCAATGTTAATTTCTTCATTACTTTCTGTAAAATAAAAATAGTTATAAAAATTTACTATTATGGTTTTTTATCACATTAATGTTATTTTAATAGGTGCGCCCAATGTTTCCGGCCATTTCCAGATGGAATCTTCTATGAATTTGAAGGATACAAATATTGCGAGCATGACTTTCATGTTCTGTTTGCACCATGTTGTGGCAAGTGTGGTAAGTTAGATTTAAATTTTTAATTGCTTCAATATTATCAATTCTGAGATAGTTAAATATGAGATAATATCTTAAAATGTATTTAATCAAGTTTTCATCTTTACGGTAGGCGAGTTTGTTATTGGCCGCGTGATTAAAGCGATGAATTCAAACTGGCACCCACAGTGTTTCCGCTGTGAAGAATGTAATGGTGAATTGGCGGATGCGGGCTTCATCAAGTGTCAGGGCAGAGCCTTATGCCATACATGCAACGCTAATGTGAAAGCTGGTGTGCTTGGAAAACATATATGTCATCAATGCCAGTATGTTATTATTATATAAAAGATGTATCTTTGGTATTATAAATGATAGGCAGTTTTTGCAATCCAAATGTTTAGTTATTAAAATGATGCTTAAGCGATCATTTTTTAATTTTATTCTGAAAAGAAATTATAATCTTTTTTTTAAATACACTTATAACTTCTTGAGATAGATTTTTGAAAATTTCTATAAATCTAAAATGTCTAATTTAAAGAATGGAAAATTCACAGACTTATATAACTAGACTGCTGATTTAATGGATGCATTTAGATGCTACGATCGCTCATATATGTATGCGTATATATGTGTGTTCTGTCTGTGTGTATCATGTGAATTTATGTGAAAACACTACATTAAACAGAAATTATTACAAATGTCAAATATAATTTTATGCTAACTTTTAAATTTTATTGTATTCTGAAAAATAATATAAAAACAGTAGTTTGTAGTACCTAATAAAATGCAAAAGTCCATTTAAAGTAGGAAGTAATGTTACTTTTTTTCCCGTAAGCATTACATTATGTATTTATTATAAAAATAATAGGTACTTCTCAATATATTTACTTGAGCAATGATTTTCTGTGTAATTTATACACGTGAGAATGAGTGAACATGAACAAATATGGCGCTATCTTGCAGCGCTGTCTTCAAACATGAAGACAAAATCAGCAACCTACTTACAGAAGTCTGTACAAAAAACCTATAATTTACGTAATGGGATATTTATTTGAAAAACGTAATCGTTTTCTTTTACAATTTTTAGCGGAGTAATTGATGACAAACCTTTACGATTCCGCGGTGAACTTTATCACCCTTATCATTTCAATTGCACAACTTGTGGAATAGAACTCAATTCCGAAGCCAGAGAAGTCCGTTCTCGACCTGGCTATGCTGCCAATGAAATGGTAAGATTATGTTAACATTTTACAGGATATGGATAATTATTTAAGCCTCAGATTTTAGAATTATAAGAAATTAATATATTTAAAAAAGAATAAATACATTTACCATATATGAACAGACTTTAAACGTAATTTTTTTTTATAATAAACATATATTTTAAATCTCTACGTGCAAAAAATAATATATTTGTTTCCCTTTTAAATTTGTAGCTATACATATATACAAAGATGTTTTTTACAATTTGATTCGGTCTTGATAACGAATTTCATTATGTAGAACGAGCTTTATTGTTTGCGGTGTCACGATAAAATGGGAATTCCGATTTGTGGTGCTTGCCGGCGTCCTATTGAAGAACGTGTGGTAACGGCACTTGGAAAACATTGGCATGTGGAGCATTTCGTATGTGCTAAATGCGAAAAACCCTTCCTAGGTCATCGCCATTACGAGAAAAAAGGTCTTGCTTATTGCGAGACTCATTATCATCAATTGTTTGGGAATCTCTGCTTCGTTTGTAATCAGGTTATCTCTGGAGATGGTATGTACCAGATAAGCAGTATAATATAAATGATATCACAAATTAATTCAGACAATCCATTTACCAGAGTTTTGGCTTCTCAAATTTTTACTTTTTTTTATTCTCTTTAGATTCTTAAATTAATGTTTAGGCAAACCTTTTCCCTTACACAGTGAGCTCGAAATCTTCGAGTGACACCCCCAAAAGGTAAAGGTCATTAATCCTCCATTACTGGTTATTCATTAAAAAACTATAAACAAAATAATTTTTTTTAATTGTACATTTTTATGCTTTAAAAAATTTTTTTAAAGAAAATTTGTGTTTCAAAGCAGAGAATTTGTATTCTTAAAACAAAGAATTCGTTTTTAAACAAAAATTAACGTATAAACACATACGCATGCATATTATACTAATATTATGTACAATTTACAAATTACGTGCAATTCATAAAAATTTTGTCAATAATTTTTTAATAAACAAGCGACGAAAAAGGTCAATTACTTTATCCTTCTTAAAAGTCAAGATCAACGTTACTCGAGAGTCATTTGGGACCGACTGTGTAAAGACAATTACTTTCATAAAAATTGTTTTGTTAATAACTTTTTAATAAGTAACGAGCGATAGAAAAGCTCAATGACCTTCACCTTCTCGAAGGTCAAGATCCCGGAGGTCATTTAGGGGTGACTGTAAAGGGACAGGTTCATCTTCTTTTATTAAAATACTTGTCTTTTTTTTTAGTTTTCACAGCATTGAATAAGGCATGGTGCGTTCATCACTTTGCATGTGCATTCTGCGACCAAAAGATGAATCAGAAGACGAAGTTCTTCGAGTTTGATCTAAAACCTGCGTGCAAGAAGTGCTACGATAAGTTTCCGCAAGAATTGAAAAAGCGGATGCGACGTATGTACGATCTGAATCCTAAGAGGGTTCCATCAGCATAAACGCAGATCTGAGCTTCGGCTCTTCTGTGTGAATCTCTTAAGATTTAATCAATACTCATTCACGCTTGTAGTGCCTTACTTTTCTTAATATTGATATAAAAAAGTGCATTTAACTATATATCGTATTGCAAACTACATAGAACAAAATTATTTATTTATTAGTAGCAATAATTTTGACATAATTGCCACATATAATTATTTTTTAATATAATTTATATTTGAAAAGATATGAATTTAAAACATTTTCTAATTTGGCATCTATGAATAGGAGAATGTGCAATAGTTTTTCTACACGCACACGCGCGCGCACGCACGCACAATACATACACATACACACGCACGCACGCACACAAAATGTAATCGCATTTTACGAAATTTTACTTATGTGCGTTAATTGTAAAATATGTATAATATTTATGATTAAAACTTAAACTTTCGTAAAAAAAATATTCATAACAAAATGCAGAATGAATAAACGTGCCTAACAACAAAAAAGCGCAATAAAAACAGCATTTAATGGAAGCAATGAAGTTTTATTTACAAATCAAGACATTAATTTTACATTTGCACACGTACTCCTTGTTCTCTATTCTCAGACTCTCACTCATGTTAAAATTTTTAACCCGTTCGAGGTCATAAAAAAATATAAAAAAGTAATTACTTTCCACAAGTTTTACTTTTCTTGTACAGTTTATCTTTAATTTTCTCATTTATACCAAGTGTACTTTCCATAAAAAGTGTCCGTCAAGGTGGAATCCTTGCACTCACACTTTTATTTAATCCTAGAATACTAATAATACATAATAGCACTCAAGTTTAGCATGGTTTCTTTTTTCTTTCCGTTTTATTTTTCTTATCCATTAAAATAGTATGGTTTATTAGTTTATTTCTTATAAATATTTATTTTTCTTACTTGGTATTATTTAAAAAAAAATCATCAATCTACATGCATAACGCATGATTAGTTTTAAAAGTATGATTAGTATTCTAAGGTTAACGCTGCATTTAGCGCTAAATGTGGTCAATTGATCTTGAACTTTAAAGCAGTAAAATAATCGATTCAGCCATATATATATAGTTCGATGACGTCAAAGAGACAAGGGAATCTAGAGAAATTTCTCCGTGATGACCTATACTTATAAAAGTACATAAAATCATGGCAATTTAAAGGGTAAAATTTCTTAGGTAAAATAAAAAATTATAAGAATAGATGAAAAGAGAAACTTCCAGATTGAATGATTTATAACATGATTATCTATCTTATTATATGTATATTTAGAATATTTTTAAAAGATTTCAAAGACGTTCTCTGTAAGATACAGTTTAAAGATATTCACGCAACGATATCAATTTCTTTTGTGCTTGCTCAAGCAACATTCTAAAATCGTAAAAAATTTAGTTACAAATCGACGATTAAGATGAATCTGAAGTACGATTGTGTATGCGATTAATTAAATTTTATAATTGAAATAATTATACTTGAATATACTAGTGGTACAAATAATTATATATTTATAAATATACCTATATTTAATTTGGAAATTGCTATCAGGTATAATTATTATAGTATTATAAGTACATTTGTATAAATCTCTACTTTATCAATATCTATACTTGATAACAAATTAATTTGTATAAATACTTGTACTTGATAGTGATTTCCAAATTAATTAAAAAATCATTATCAAATATAATTATTTGCATTATACATTTAATTACTCGCACGCATGCACGCGACTGAAATTAACCTCAGCCGATTTGTAACTATATTTATATGTTAATAAGTTAAACAAATTAATTTAATTATATCGTAAAAACCTACTTCAATTATTAATATCAAATCAATTGCTCTATGCATTTATTACTCAAATTAACTAACGTCACACATCAATCACTATAAAAAAGTTTCTTTAAATTTGTTCGTATTCTTCATATTTTTACAATAAAGTAGAACATGAAGATAATATGGACTTTTTTTTCAAGGTTTTGGCGCTATTTTAAATTTTCTTTCGTGATTGTACATGCTTTTGTACGATTGTCTTGATAGATTTTCTTGTGAAGTTATGAAACATACAGATGAAAACGGCTGTCGCCTTAGCTAGCAATACAAAAATCCGCCATAATTAGCGGTACAAAGATCACAACGCGATCGAGGACCATCGTAGTTCCTGTTTGACGCTACATGTGTGATGCTAATAAAATCTTGTTTGCTAGGAAACTTAGTTCGCATCCGTTATCACGAATAATCATTGACCGCTCACTAATATATTCTATAGTATAGAATAATTAAAAACCGTATAGAATCTATACGGTTTTTAATTACTCGATATAAAGGTTCAACAAGGATAACGAAGATTGAAGCGTGACCAACCACATTTACTGCTAATTGTGCAACGCAAATATGTGCCAGTGGTTTCGAAAAATCTATATTCACATTCTGTTTGGCGTCGCCGATTTCAACGCGACTATCCAATTCTGATTCCATTTGGGTAAGGATGGGGAAGGGGATATATACATCTACATACGCATGTATATATAATTTTAAGATTCTATTCTAGGATATAATCGCAGATTTGTGCCAAAGCGTCGTCAATGTGAACATAAGATCATGCTATTTTATTGCAATGTAAGGCGACGCAGGCCTTCAACGGGTTAACAAGAAATCACGGAAAATTTATACAATTCGCACATTAATGATAATAATAATAATATAATAATAATAGTAATAATGATAATGATGATGATGGATGATGATGATGATAATACAATCGTTTGTAATTTTATATGACGCGCAAAAGCCGTGCGTCTGTTTCTTTTTTTATTTCGCGTTTTTTAAAAAAATTTTCTCTGAACTCTGTATAAAAGTCTCAACTTGAAACGGCGTAACGGCCGTCACTCGGCGAAAGCCTCGAACGCTATTTTTTCTTTTCTTTTTACACACTCACATGATACATATAAACATACATGCATCACGCAACACACACATACACGTGCGCGTATTTTCTGCTTTTGTCATTTTTATTTGTATGTATATACAGGATTTTCCATTAAGAGATTTGATTTTAAATTTCGCGGCATTTTGTACCTGTTATGGAGTTGTCATATTGACATTAAACTGTGATAACACTGTTATCACAGTTTAATGTCAATTTGATAGTCAAAAATTATGTAGTTAATAACAATGGATTGATATTCGCTTCAACAACGTATAGAAATAGCGAAAATTCAGTATAAACACGGTGACAATTTCATGAAGTTCCCTAGATGTATTATTTCGCGTAACGGAGGCAATTGGCCGCCCATATCGTGCGATTTGACACTCCTGGATTTTTTCTTTGGAGTTACATGAGGAATAAGATTTACACAAATGATCCGCAACCTATTCAAGCGCCCAAAGACAATATTCGAACCGTTGGTGAAATTGAGCCACAATTGTGCAAAAACATGATGAAAAATTTCCTCAAAAGAATGACCATTTATAAAAAAAATCGAAGCGGCCTTTTGGCTGATATTGTGTACCATGTTTAATCACAAAATCTGTACTTTGGATTAAAATAAATATATTTCAACGTTTTCAAAAACTTATTCGTTTTTTTTTATTAATTTAAAATAAAATCTCTTAATGGAAGACTCTGTAGTATTTCATAAATGCATGTCACTTTCAGGGTTAATCTATACACTAAAATAAGTAAAAAAACATCATATGGACATGTTCTACATATTTTAATTTTCGAGTTACAGATGATTAAAAGAAATGTTCTTAGGTGTGCAATAGCATTCATTGAGGCACGAGATGTACATTTAGAACATCTTTAATTATTTATAACTCCAAAACTAAAATAAACAGGACTTATGTTCATGTTTTATTTTATGTGTAGATTCACCTTTTGAAAAATGGACATGTAATTATAAAACACTTTATATTTTTATATACTATACAATATGTATTTAAACACACACGCGCACACACACACGCACGTACACACGTTTGGTTGTATAAATAATTGTGAAAGTTATTTTGTTTAAAAATATTTAAATATATAAATATTTAGACGTAAAAAAAAAGTTTTAAATTATATGTTAAGATGTCTTTAATAAGTTTTATTTTTTTACTGGTATATTGTATAACATAGATATGTAATGTATAGATATGTATTTTTATTGTAATTTTGTAAAATATTTTATATTATATTCGATAAAAAATGTGATTTTTGATAGTCATGGAATATTATCACCAGTATTTTTTTAATTATAAAGAATAAAATTTATTAAAAACATTAAAATATAGTAATTTAAACATTTTAAATTTTATATAGGTCTTCTTAAACAAAATATCTTTTAAAATCGAAAAATTGTTTATAACTTATCTTATAAAATAATCAGTGTAAACCAAACACATACATACATAACATTTGACGCTTTATTACACGCAGCAAGGCGGTCCGAAATCATGATTGCGATTTCAAGAGCGAGAACATTATTAGCAACGCTATCTTACTCGCGTTTCTCCTTGCTTAAAGTATATCGAGATATTACGTGTTTGCGTATGAAAAGTCGAATTTTAAAGTCCGCAAATATAAAGACTTACACACACACACACACACACACACACACACATATATATATATATATATATAGTGCTCATAATATATATATATATAATTTCTTGCGATAAGTAAATAAAATGAACACTTGTATAAATTATGATCTTGTATAAACTGTACATTCTCACGTGACTTTTTGTTTCCGATTGCAGGACTTCTTATTAATATAATATAATCTATGTCTTTTTAATTTTTTACTAAACTTCTTGAGATTATATTAATAAAAAAATAAAAATAAACTTTTCATACACAATAACGTAATAATAATGCTGTGCTGTAGCTAAAATCCTTTAAGATCCTTGAATCCTTAGATTTTTTTTGCGTTTGTGAATAATTTTGATCTATGTATCTGTGCATGCTTGAATTCCTAGATTCTATATAGCTTCAATTCCTTGAATCTTTAATTCTTTGGAATTCTAGCCCAATCAATTTATAAACTGCTTGAGATATCCCAATCCTATTCTTAAATCCTCTAAAAACTTTTTCGATTCGTTAGAACTGATTTATTTCCGATTATTGAATTTTTAATAACTTTTAATCCTTCTGTCTTAAATAAAATTCTTCGTCTTATCCACGATCCTTAGTTCCTA